TTTTTTTTTTCTTTTCTAACAATGTGCCGTCTTCGTTGTCCTCGTCGCTCTGAAAAGTGCTTTTGTTGTTGGATTTTTTGATTTTCTTCTTTCTGCCCGTTGATTTTATTGAAACTTTCTGTGATAATTTTGAAAAAAACGCACAGTGATTGTTGAGAATTTGCATAAATTGCAGTAAAATGTCTACTTTTTGAAAATTTTCAGCACAAAAATCCGTAGTTTATAAAACGTACTGGCGATTTCTAGACCGTCTTCGAACAAAGCACTGACAGAATCCTGCACTTTCCTGAGAATGATATGCACCAACCCATTTTAATATCGTTTTTGCTCTGCATTGTCATGTCTCCACCTCATTATGAGAGACGGAGGCACACGGAGATTAACCCCGAGTGAAGCAACCACCTACTTGCAAGGCTGTCGATGATTGCTTAGAAGCGAGCAGATGGTTGTGCCAAATTTTGTTTTGCAGAACATGTACACAAAAATAGTATGTACCAGTGGCGAAGAAAATTTGGAGGAAATCTCTAGAAATACGGCATTTGTCTGGGGGTGCAAACACTGAAGTTACACAAAAGCAGGCCCTCTGTTACTGTTTTGTTAATACCCCCTCTCAGTCCTTTCAGAACTAATGAGGTAAAACTCGTCTCACAGCAAGAGCGAGACGAGTTTTACCTCATTAGTTCTTTTTATCATAAATTTTCCCCCCCGAACACAGTATGCCTATCTCGAACTTATTTTGTGTGCCCTTGGAATGCCGTAAAAGATTTTCACATTCACTCCGTGCAACCCGCAAACAACACTTAGGGGTTGAAATGTACCTGTCCTGGTAAAAGAAAGAAATTTATTAAGAAGGCTGGAATTGCTAGTAGCGTACCGAGAATCGACGGTTCAATTCTACCAACTGCCCCTCCGCCACGCTCGCTCGCAATAATAATTGTATACAGACACTTTAATGCAAACCTTTTTAGGCGTTTAATTAGACTTGACAGATTTGCTTCGTAAAATTGCCAAATTTTTTCGAAAATAGAGATCAAGAAAATGTCTGTTTGCGGTTTCAGCAAAAAAACCGCTGCTGAACGAAGATGAAATCCGAAAGATGAAGGAGGAAGAGAGCAAAAAAGTGGCGAGCGGTTCTGCTCGGATATCGTTCAGTCCGGCAGACGATGATCTTGATCGTTCGTTCGAGCATATTCTTAACAACAGGTTCATTCCCCTTCAGAACTTCTCCCATAATGCGAGTGCCACCATCCGTAC